TTAAAATATTTATGTGGGATAAAATAGGTAAATGTTTAGACTATAATTTGTTTAAAAATCCCAACCATATCTATATTTACTAATTTATTTTTTAAACAATATTTATATTTATATCAAAGTTTAAATTTTAAGCTATTATTAATGAACATAAAATTGATTAAAGACATATCAATTTGTGTTTTTAATAAAACATTTATATTTACTATAGATAGCACTAAATCAACAATATTTCACATATTTTTCGTGATTTAAATCATACATGTTTTTGGGTATAGGATCCAACAAACAATATCACTTATTTCTTAGTTATCTTTTTCCTGTTCGGATAATTTGTTTTTGGCTTAACTACCTACTTAGTCCCCATGTTAGGAGGTAATTTTCTGTTTAGTACCCAGTTTTAAAAATGTAGGTATTTGGTACCTATGTTTTGAAATTTGTATCAATTCAATCCTATCCAGTTAACGGCGTTATAATTGATGCGAGAAATTAAGGACGTTAATGATAGCCTGGGTGGAATAACTATCAAATGTTTGAATGCATCTTCATTAACGTCCTTAATTTCTCGCATCAATTATAACGCCGTTAACTGGATATGATTGATACAAATTTCAAAACATAGGTACCAAATGCCTACATTTTTAAAACCGGGTACTAAACAGAAAATTACCTCCTAACATGGGACTAAGTAGGTAATTAAGCCTTTGTTTTTCCAACTGATTGTGTGTATCTAAGATAGTCTCATAGTCTCCTCCTCAAGCAAGGTTGAGTCAAAACAAGAAAATGAAGATATAGAGGTGGAAGTGACGCGGAAGCTATAGAGATAATGGTGGTTGCACTCGATTTGAAGATTTAAGTGGTGAAATGGAGATGGTTGATGGTGCTTTTAGAAAGGTTTGATCGACTCTAGAGATTGGTGGCTACATGGACCTCATGGGGTGCTCTAACCATGATTTAGAGACAAATTAAGAATAACTCAATAATTTGACAATATTTCATTATAAATTCAGAATAAATTTATAAGTGAAAGGCATCTCTATTTATAAATGGTATCTGCAAATTTATTAATAACTATTATTTTTATTAAATGATAATGTATCTCGAAATTGTTCATGAAATTTAGGTTATTATTGAAAAAATATATGCTTTTTTATATAAATAGATTGGTTAAGAAATTGAGAATTAAAATTAATAAACTTACACAACTAAAAGTATCATGAGTGTTAATAACTTAATTACTCAATGTAAGGGGGATTTATTTGGTTAAGGTGAATTTCACATTTAATAATGTAATGTTATATTAACTTGTGAGAAATAATGTTATATATATTAGGTTTGTTTATTTGTGTTAAAGAAAATAACCGATTCTTATGCAAGTAGAAAACGGTATCTGTTCGATTACGATAAAAACAATACTTAAAAAGAGATGGGAAACAAAAATGGGAGAATAAGATTAATACTAGCAAAATACATAAAGATATATTCGTATTTTGTTGATATTCTTTCTATTTTATCACAACATTTACTTTCTCTTACAAGGAATAAAAATAAGGAGAAAATTGTTTTGTTTTTCATTTGAACTCTTTTTTTCAAACAAGCTTACCAAAACATGATAAAAGTTATAATAAGTGATTACTTTATTAAGTTTATGATAATACATAGGTAATGGTGTGTTAGTTTAACAAATACATACATGTTTTTTTATTAGTTAAACAATTTTTGTCAACTTTGGAGTGCAGACAACAACTCATGTTCATATGCATAAAGCGATAAACAAAAGTTACACCCCACTTTCGTAATTGCAAACGAAAAAAAATACATGTAAAAGGATTATATACTGTAAATTTAGTTAGTTTTTTTTAATTGTGTCCGTAAATTTTATCGAACTTAATATTTAAATTGGTTTAGAACATCTCCCATTGTATTTACTTAAAGTTATATCTCTTTAAATCCATTTTAATTAATTTATCTTAAATTCAAATTCATTTTTTTATTTTACTTTCATGGTTAAATTTGAATTAGATAAGTTTTGAGATTTTAAAAATTCAAAACTAAAATAAATCTAAATTAGTTGAAATCAAGATTAAGTCAAGTCAAATTCAAATAAAATTAAATCATATCTATATTTCATAAGATCATATTAAATTATATTTAAATTATGAGGTTGTGTTATGTAGACTTAAGAAAGGACGAATCAAGTCACATTGAAATTAAGTTGGGTTAACTAAAACTAAACCTAAGATAGATGAATCAATTTGGATCTTATCTCAAGTTCGATCAAACCCAAGTTAGATTGTATTATGCCAAATTTAGGTTGATCTGGGTAGTTAAACCTAAGTCAAGTTAGGATTGTCCAAAATTATGTTATGTTGGGTATATATGAAATTGCATAAGGTTAAACATAGATAAGGTCGAGTCAAAGTTTGATTAAGTCATATGAAATCAATGCGAGTCAAATTAGGGTGTATAAATCAATTCATATACGAACCAAGTTGGCAAGGGGTTTAGATTAGGTTGAGTTGACTTAGTTCCATATTGTGTAGTGCATAGATTGAACCACACTTTGGGTAAAATCAGCCCAAACCCACATTATACTATGTTGCCCTGAATTCTTATTGAACCAAGTTAGTCTAATTTAGGTCATTCCATGTTAGGTCGAGTCAAACCCAAGTTGGGTCAAGTAAGGTGAGACACAAGTTAAATTAAGATGGGTTGAGTCCTAATGTGGCCAAGTTAGGCAAGATATATATTAGAGAAAGTTAATCCATGTTTATCTTAGATTAAATTGACTTGAACGCAGGTCAAATTAGTCATCCTATATCCAAGTTGAGTCAAGTTAAGTTTTGTCAACTTGGGTACACATCAAGTAAGGATGATCCAAGTCAACCCAAGCCAGGTAGGGCCAAATACAAATTAGGTTAAGGTGAGTATGACTTAGGTCAAGTTGAATTCTTATTGTAAAAAGTTGAGTTAGAGCTAGGTTATGTAAAGTCAAGTTAAGTAAAACTAAGCTAAAGTAGCTAAAGTCAGACTGGGTCTAAACATGCTAGGTTAGATCGAGTTTAGCTGAAATAAAAATGAATTAAATTAGATTCAACTCAAATTAGATTGAGTTGGACTAGAATTGTATTAAGTTGGATCTAACCATATTAGTTTTATGTTAAATTCAATTTAATAAGATCAAATCCATATTAGATTAAATATAGTTAAATTAAACCTAAATATGATTAATTGAAATGTAAATTTAAATTTTATATAGTAACATTATGTTGAATAAATTTAATTTAATATAAATTAAATTAAAAAATCAATTTAATTTGGTTTACTTAAGTCGTATTTAATTTAAGCTCTAATATATTTTTATTAGATCATAAAAAGTTCAATACATAATTACTCCTAATTAAAGCATAATTATAATAAAAATGATTAGGTATAAACTTTTAAGAAATATAATTCAATATATAACTATTGTTAATTAAAACAAAATTCTAATAAAAATATTACTTACAAGCTTTTAAAAAAATAATTACTTATAAGAATGTAACATAACAATATGACAAATGAAGACAAGTTTTATTATCTCATTCCCATTGGTGAAATAAAAATTTATCATTATTCTTATTTTCAATTGAAAAAAAATTGAGTATTATTACTCATACCTATATTTATCTTCTTTAGTTAATGCAGAGATTCCCAATAACAAGTTTAGATATTATCTATAAAAATAGGTTTATTTATCATCTTGTATTAGATAGAAAATTAAATTCAAATTCGAGCACAAAGATTAAGAAACTCATTTCAAATAGTAATAATGAAGTAATATATTTGCTACACATTGGAAAATTTGTTTAATATTGTGGATTTTAATTGTTTTTAAATATAACAATTTTGTGTGACTGAAAACTGTTTTGTTGTTTTTTAATAATGATAAAATATTTAAATTACGCTATTTATATTTTGATATTTAAAATGCATGTGATAAAAAAATTATATTTTATATTATATCAAGTGGCATTATGTCACGTGCCGTTAATGTGTTTTATGATTAATTTGGTTTCCATATTTATTATTTTCTTTTAATTTTGTCTAATTTTTTAAAAAATGAAAATATTTTATCAAATGAAGATAAAATTTAATTTATATATATATATGTTATAAAAATAACCTAAAAATTACATAAAATATTAAATAGTTTGTACTTTTTAACCTCTTAATATTTTAAATAAGTTCTCATCTTTCAAATTTTCTAAATAAATTCTATTTTTAAAATTCTGTCTAATTTTAAATCAATTTTAATCCTAAGTTAGAAATATATAATAAATTTTTTAAATTTTAATAAAAATATCAGTATAATATTTATATAAAAATTAAATTTGATTTCAATTTGAAAGTAAATAAAATTATTTTACTTACAAAAACTTAAGTAAACAAAAATAACCACCATAGAAATCAAATTGAAACATTGATAATTATTTCTCTCATTAAAGTTGACATAACACTACTAACATCTTTTATAACAAATTTTAAAGAAAAAATAATCATGAAACGTAACTTACACGATTCTTTAAATTATATTAAAAAAGCTAAATTAATTTTTTTTTAAAATTAATATATTATTAAAAATATTAAAATTGAATTTATTAAACCCAAAAAAATATAAACTAAATTAATCTTTTAACCTTATTTTAATATTTCTTTTTCTCTTTCGGTCTCTTTTACATCATAAATTACGAGGGTGTTATGTGGGGGTTGGATTGCGAGCAAGCAAAGCAATGGCATTCTTGGAATTTGAGTAACACGGGAATGCAATGAAATGAATCAAAATTCAAAATGAAGCAACGGTTAGTAGTGAGGGAAAACCAGCGTGACATTCACAAATCCCAAACCCCTTTTTGTTCCAATCCCAGCTGTCGAACCAGGGTTAACCCAACCGTAGTTAGTTTCTAACCGAACATTTCAAATTTAGGCAACGTCTGCGCCTATATAAGCCCAAGAACAAACCTTACCCCCTCACAATCCAACGGGAAAAGGCGTCTTCATAAACGCCACCCCAAACCTCTCATTTTTTTTTTTCCTTCCAATTTTCCAATCCAATTTTTAGGGTTTCATCTTCTTCTCCGAGAAAATGAGAGAGTGCATTTCAATCCACATCGGTCAGGCCGGTATCCAGGTCGGAAACGCATGTTGGGAACTCTATTGCCTCGAGCATGGCATTCAGGTATGTTTTCAAATGAGATTTGTTTTGGGTTCTATTCTGGGCTTGGGTTTAGGCTTGGGCTTGGGCTTGAATGTTTGTTTTGTTTTCTTGTGCACAGCCCGATGGACAGATGCCCAGTGACAAGACCGTTGGCGGAGGAGACGACGCCTTCAACACATTCTTCAGCGAGACCGGTGCTGGGAAACACGTGCCACGCGCAGTCTTCGTGGATCTTGAGCCCACGGTCATTGACGAAGTTCGAACCGGGCCCTACCGCCAGCTCTTTCACCCAGAACAGCTCATCAGCGGCAAGGAAGATGCCGCCAACAACTTCGCGCGTGGCCACTATACCATCGGAAAGGAGATTGTCGATCTCTGCCTCGACAGGATCCGTAAGCTCGCCGATAACTGCACCGGTCTCCAGGGCTTCCTCGTCTTCAACGCCGTCGGTGGCGGCACCGGTTCCGGTTTGGGATCGCTTCTCTTGGAGCGTCTATCCGTTGACTACGGGAAAAAGTCCAAGCTCGGTTTCACCGTTTACCCATCTCCTCAGGTTTCGACCTCCGTGGTGGAGCCATATAACAGTGTTCTCTCAACTCATTCTCTTCTGGAACACACCGATGTTGCCGTCCTTCTCGACAACGAAGCAATCTACGACATTTGCAGGAGATCTCTCGACATCGAGCGCCCTACCTACACCAATCTCAACCGTCTCGTTTCTCAGGTATAATGAATCCTAATCCTAACAGACGTGACATATGATTGATTAATTTTTAAAAGCGTGTTTTAAATCTTATTTTGTTAGGATATCATTCAAATCACTCGGCCTTATGTGAATTGGTATTGAATTTGCAGGTGATTTCATCCCTTACTGCCTCTTTGAGGTTTGATGGAGCACTGAATGTGGATGTGACTGAGTTCCAAACCAACTTGGTTCCTTACCCGAGGATCCATTTCATGCTTTCTTCTTATGCCCCTGTTATCTCTGCTGAGAAAGCATACCACGAGCAACTTTCCGTTGCTGAGATTACCAACAGTGCTTTTGAACCATCCTCCATGATGGCCAAGTGTGACCCTCGCCATGGGAAGTACATGGCGTGTTGTTTGATGTACCGGGGTGATGTTGTGCCGAAGGATGTGAATGCTGCAGTGGCGACCATCAAGACCAAGAGAACCATCCAGTTTGTGGATTGGTGCCCCACTGGGTTCAAGTGTGGTATCAATTACCAACCTCCTACTGTTGTTCCCGGAGGTGACCTTGCGAAGGTGCAGAGGGCTGTGTGCATGATTTCTAACTCAACCAGTGTGGCTGAAGTGTTCTCAAGGATTGATCATAAGTTTGATCTGATGTATGCGAAGAGGGCGTTCGTGCACTGGTATGTGGGTGAAGGTATGGAAGAGGGTGAGTTCTCAGAGGCTCGTGAGGACCTTGCTGCTCTTGAGAAAGATTACGAGGAGGTTGGCGCTGAGTCTGGCGATGGAGAGGATGTTGACGGAGACGAGGAATATTAGACTCTGGAATATCTGTCTGATACATGTGTTTGATGTTAACTATTTCGTTTTCTCTGGGATCAAATTCTGTGTGCTGAGTTTTTAAATGTTTGGTTGTTATCAAATATCAATATATGTGCTTTGTATAGCACAAAAGTTTCCCTACGTCTGTGTGCTGGTCTAACAATTTTTTTATAGTTCATATGAATAGTTGGTAATGTTTGAAAATTTGAGGAAAGATAGGGTGTCTGCAGATGGACAAAGTCTATATATTTAGATGGACAAAGTCTATATATTTAGATGGACAAAGTCTATATATATTTAGATGGACAAAGTCTATATATATTTATTTTATTTGGGATCTCAAATAACGAAAGGTAAATAATTATGTAAAAAGTGGCTTAAAATAAACATGATTAAGATGAAGAAAAATAAATTAATTCAACTAACTTTTTAGTACTTTATTGTAATTTTATTATTAAATTAAATACTTCTAATTCGTCACCATCAATATACTTACTCTTTTTTTATTGTTTTGCTTAATAAAATTAGACTTATTGTGTTTTAATAATTGAAATTGAGTACTCTCACAATTATATAATGGTTTTAAACCAACATCTAGCAAATTTTTTGAAATGAAACTGTCATATTTATAAAACTTACATTTTTGGTCAAAGTACATCATAATAATAAAAATTAAAAAGTTAGGGGAGACAATTGTTCTCACAATTTTATAATTTAACCTTAGTGGGGGCCTCTCACAATTTTTTAATTTAAACTCTAACTACGGTCTGATTTATTTAAAAAGGATTCTATAATTTCACACTCCAAATATTCTTTTATACTCAAATTTTATGAATTATTATTTTTTACAATATTCTATTTATATTTACTTTTATCATATATTTATTTTTATCAAATTTTATCATACACTATCCTCTCTTCTCTTTTACTTGGCCTTTCTCATTATGCTCAACATAAAACTAAGATTCCCCTTTCTCATTATGCTCAACATAAAACTAAGATTCCCCTTTCTCATTATGCTCAACATAAAACTAAGATTCCCCGTTCACCCATTTCAAAGAGCACACCAACCAAATTTAATGTAACTCGATCTTTAGTGCTTCTAGGAAACTCCTTTGTGTGTATCAAGAATAAATAAAAACTGTGCTGGTACTGTCAAGAAAATTCTTATTTTTTTAATGCAGAGATAGATGAGTAAGAACCATATGCAATAGAATAATTTGCAGGCCTCTGAAACTCGATTCCTCTCACCATCATAAGGTGGCAAGAGAGGGAGTGGGTGGAAAACTAAATAAAATCAGATAATAAAATAGTAAAAAGTTATTTAATGTTTCATCTTTCTTTCGTTTTTTCTATTAATTTATGGGAAACAGAAAAATAATAGCAATAATAATATCACACTAAAAAAAGATTGGAGTGATGATGGTTGGTTCAACTCTCCTATTAACATTTGAAAATTATAAAATTAATTTGATAAATTTAGAAAAAAAATTAAGAGGCTATGAGTTCAACTTTTCAATTAACAAATTACTCCAAACTAACATTTAAATGATAACAAAATTAACTAGTTAGATGTTTCAACATCGTCCAAACTTTTGGACAAGACGGTTCTCTATCTCAATTCTCTTTTTCATGATGGATGCATACTTAGAAACCAGCTCCTGATCTCCAGCATGCACTGCAAGGTTGCAGCTCAGAGAAGTTTTTTCCACTTTGTCCATGTACATTTCTGATATGGGAATAAAACTTCCCTTCTTGTGGCAGAGCAAGCCATGAGCAGCTCTCAGTGCAGCTCCAAGTGAAGCTGAATCTGTGATCAAGTTCAAGAATTTTCTTATCTGATTAGTTTATTTTATCACTTTGAAACAAGGAAAACAACAAATCCCCAACTACCTATATGAAGTATTTGAGACAGGAATATCTATATACATATGTTTGGAGAAAAGGAGAACACCATCTATTCTCTTTCAATGAAATGTCGTGTAAACTTAAAACTAGAAGTACTTAATATATCTTGTTAAAAGAAATGCACAAGCTTGCTCATATTTCATTATAGAAAAAGAAACTACAGAAGGGATTGGACATATGTATCTTGAATACTATGCGTATCTAATGCAGGAATACATTTTTTTTTAAGTAATGGGATACAATGCATGATATATACATGTTGAAAAATGTATAAAGATTCTTAAAACAGATAGATATATAATTGCAGTTATGCAAATTCAAATTAGAATCTTATTTACTTTATAAATTATTATTATTGTCATCAGAAAAATAGTAGTACTTTATAGATCATATACTTTATCACAAGTACTGACTGATAAAGTATTAGATATAAAGATGTAAGATATGAAGACATGACACAACTAAAAGTATCGGTATACCATAGCTGGACAGAGAATTCAGAGGTTTCCAAAACGTTTTGCAATAACTTGTATATCCGGGGATCACACAATCCTTCACATCATCAAGAGTGTATAGTGCTAAAGTTGTGAATTTTTGCTTACCTGGTCTTTGAACTGTGTAAACATCACAGCCAAAAATTGAAGCTATTGAGCTAAGGATGCACTTATTTGCTGATGCTCCACCAGTGGCTATTATTCTCCTTGGAGGAGAAGGCATTCCAAACCTTTCAGCATGAGCCCGTATGGAGAGAAATTGACCCTCAATTAATGCCCGTACCTGTAATTTAAGTTCTTGATCAGTAAGAATATATTTCTTAGGATTTTAACTACCCAAAGAAACTGTCATGGTTTTCCTAACCTCAGATGGAGGATCAAACTCCTCCACTTCCCGTTCCTTGAGTCCATCCAAAGAATCTGAGAAATTTTCAATGACATAGCGGTGGAAACCAACTAAGACAATAAAAATTAGTTAGTAACTTCTTCCGGCAAAGTCACTTATTATATAGTACAAGTACTTTATCAGTGAAAGAATTAAACAGCCACCTGGAAGAGGAGGTATAATTTCATGCTCCTTGTAGTAGAAACCTAACTTTCCACCTATTAATTAAAAAAAATTGTGAGAAAGGAGATAGTGTAAGACCCGGGAAAAATCCAATGTAATAAAAGGATGATCTGATCTTGCTAGATGTTTTTTAATAAGAAAGCCTATGTTTTCACAAGTATTGTGTAGCTTAGTGAAAGTCCTTGTTAGGCTACTGGTCATGTGTTAAATCACCGAGGAATACCTAAAATGTTTTATTTCTTTAATTATGCTGTTATTGATGTGTAGTACATACGTGCCAATATATTTGTAGTAAATGATATAATCAAATGAATTTGGATGGATGGATGGTGGATATGGATGTATGGAACTCAAGGTGAAGGGGTTCTGCGGTAAAGGCAAGCTACGTGAATTGTATGGTTCTATTTAGGAATTATGTTATTCTGTCCTGGGAATGATCTTGAGGTCTGAAACGGGTGTTAGAGAGAGTGGATAACATAGGAAGAGTTCGTGATACCTACCATTTAGAGGTTGTGTTTGCTCCAGAAATTTATTGAAAACATCCCATGATTTCTCTGCACAACGGTTGCGCACATCTGACATTTGAAATAGAATCAAGAATTACAAATTACAAGAAACATTTGTATGGGTTTATAAGCAAACAATACATGTTTCAGACAAAGAATCAGAACAACAGTACCTTCTCGGGTAAGGGACCCATTTTTGTATACCAACATTACCATGTAACCTTCTGCATCAACTGGATTAGGTAACACATGTCCCTCCAATCCTGGATTAGGATTTTCTGTGATCATAAATACCTGAGAGATAAGCCAGAAAGAAATTGTCACTAAAAGCAAAGGTGTTAATGGGCATTTTTAAAGATATAGCTCCAATACTAGAATAGAGAGCATGAAATGAGATTTATTTATTTATAAAACAGTTACTATTCTTCTACTGATAAAGGTACAATAATTTCCAAGGTAACCATATAACACTATGTATCTTAACCTACAGTATCACTAGTGCCGAGGCTGATGGCGAGATCTCCAGGAATATTTAGGGTCAAACCTGCAGATAAATTGGAGTTAAATTGTTAGATAAGCCGGGATAATATAGACAATATAAAAACTTTTTCTAATATGGATGACACTTAGCAAATAACACTATAATAAGGTCGTATTTTGTCCTTTTGTTTCCTTAGGAAAAAATAGGATGTTATGAATCCAAGTGTAAGTTTAAGTCATGCATTAAATAAAAATAAAAAAAGTTGAATAATATATATAAGGAAAAATACCCAAAAACTTATTGTGGTAAGGTTTTTGGTTGAAGGTGGTGTTTTAATCCTTACGAATTTACTCACGACTCATTATTAGTCGTGATATAAGAAATATACCATAGTATAGATAGATGATAGAATAAGTTAATGAAGAAATTAGGCACCTGCCAAACTATTGGGATTGTCTCCTGACCATTGAACAACCAAGCAATCCTTGTTAAAGTGATATCTAATACAAAATAATAAACATAAGTCATCAATCTAAGTATTTTGACATATCTCGTGCAACAAATAAGTAGGTAACGAAACCACAAGTCCGTAACAGACCATTTTGGCCAGCGAAGGGTTGAGGATAACATTTGTTGATACTTGTTTCATACAGATAGCATTCAAATAGCATCATAAAAATTGTTGAAATGCAGATTATGCAGAAACATATTTATAAAAAAATATAACTAAGACACACCATGTAGGAGGTAATTCGAGTAGGCAACAATTGGTAGGAATTATGTGATCAGTGAATTTAGAATTAACATAGTCTCCACAATTATTTCAAATTTTAACAAAGTCAAATTTTCCTTATACTAATATACATACACTCCAGCATGTAATATCTGGCTCTGTGGGTTCTATGTTAGAGTGTCACCTGAGTGTTGATTTGTTATGAATCTAGTTGGTAAACAATAAAATACAGTGAAAATTGATAACATTGCATATAGTACATCCGAGTATGAAACAAACTACCTTAATTTTTCTCGTTTTTCAAATGTGAAATATGATAAGAAAAACTATCCAACAAACCTGTGTACAAAATAGGAAGCAATATTTCCAGCAACAGCATAAGCAGGGGCTAAGGCTCCAAGTTTTGACTCCAAACCAGGGGCAGTTGCCTGCAACCACCATTAGAATGCACATACATTGGTTAAACAAGAACTTCAAAATATCAATCAGTCACTAAACCCCCATTCTCGGAGGCACATCGAAATCCAATTCAGCAATCAGTACATAAGGTTAAACTTAAAAATGGCAATAAAAACCTCAAGTGCTACTTTAGACCATGTTTTTTCCTTTATGTCCATCAAATTCATGCCTGAACCATCAGTATGATCAATAGCAGCATAAACACCAACAAAAAGAGACGCCATAAATGAGCTAACAAGCGAAATCCTTTCAGTGCTGTCATAAACTTCTGGTTGTGTATCAAATATTTTCTTGATCTGGGGACCAGTAAATCTCTCATATCCACGCGATCCCGTTACACGAGCCAACTCCAAGGCCCCTCCACAAGCCTTCTCTATAGCCCTACACTCTGCAGTAGTGCTACAATCCATCCAAATTGGGGATTCCTTAATGGAAAAAGCATGTTCAAGCTGATCCAACAATGTCCTCTTAGGATCCAATGCTGATAGTATCTGAGAACTACCATTCTTCCAATACACGCTACCATGCTGTTGGCCACTGCCAGAAACAGCAGCAACCTTGGCAAAATCAAAATTTGATTTTGAAAGCTTTTGAAGCATTAGGTCAAGAGCCTCCACCCACATCAAGGTGGGTGAAACAATTCGGCCATTGCCAGAGGGGTCTCTGTAAACCCCATCGCTGGTTTTGTAATGGGGCAAGTCGGAATCAAAATGAACAAGCTCTGAGGCTATGATTTTGAGGTTGGAGTCCAACACTGTGGCCTTTAACGACCTTCAAAACAATAAAAATTGAAAATTTAATTTCTTCCACATCAAACTAAAAGATTTAATTTATTGCTCATGAAATTGAAAGTGAAAATAATGATGCAATTGGACTTACTGAGTGGAACTGTCGAATCCGAGAAAGTAGGAGTCTCGAGGAAGAGATAATTCGGCCATTGTAGGATTCACAAATCTCAGTACAGTGATGAATTTGTAAATAGATATGGGAAGAGGGAACCATTGGCCACATTGTGATTATTATTTATAAACGAGTTTTGGATTCGAATCGGATAATAACAAATTTTGATAGACATCAAACAGGTAATATCCCATAAATTAAAACCATAAAAACGTTCTATCTGCTAAATAAGCTTTAAAGAAAAAAAATTAATTAAATTTTGAGTTGACTTTTAGTTGAGTTTTTTGTTTTTATTTCTTATTTAAAAGTTTTATATGTTTTAATTGAATAACTGTTATTTAATTTTAATCAATTAATGATGTAATTGTTTATTTTCTTATTATCTTGTTTATATTAAGGGATTTTATAGATAATGTAAAACCGTAAGTGGATTTTACTATTTTAACTAAAACATTGTTCGATAAAAGAAGACTGTCATTATGGTAATGATGATTATTTAGCTGTAAATAATGACGTGGAAGCTACCAAAATATTATCACATGATAATATCATTATTAACACCATTTTAATAAAAATAATAATAAATAAATATGTTTTTATATTAATGAAAATATTATTTTATATATTAATTATAAAACTTTATAGCTTATTATATAAATAAATTAATAAAATGAAAAAAAATAATCATGTCATTTAGTTGTTTTAAATTAAATAATAAATATTTAATTGAAAATATGTAAAAATTTTAACTGAACTAAAACACTAAACATTTCAAATAATTTCATATTAAATATCAATATAAATTTTAATATTTAATTAATATTGTTAAACTAAAAAACCGTAAAAATATGAAAAATAGAATGACAACTTGTAACACGATATCCTAACTTAACTTATAAGAGTTATGAGTATATAAAAAATTATACTTTTAAATAGGTGTATCATTTAAAATAATATAAATGATAAAAGCAAATCATACATAATTTATAAAATGAGTTTATAACAATTAAAACAGTTTCTTAATTCTGACCTAATATATTGTTTAATGTTTAATACAAACCATAAAAAAAAATTTATATCAAACATAGAATAATCATCATTTGTACTCCTCCAAATCAATTTAATTTTCATCCATGTCTTATCTTTCACGACTTTCATCGTTATCAATTGGAGGAATCTCCAAATTATCCATAGGTGTAACACCACCACCTTTATATTAGCATATTCATTTATTCCAACTTCAACTAATGTCTTCATATGAAGTATTCAAACTTGAACTTGTTTCATTTTCCTCCATAATCCACCATGTGTAACACCTTAAGGAGAAGAGCACCCCTAGGCAATTCAAAATATTTTTCTAAAATTCCTTATTCAATATTAAAATTTTCACAAACCTTCTATATGTGAACATCATAATCAATTATCTTTTATTTTCATTCAAGCATTCCAAAGTCAAATAAGAAATCGCAAAACCCTTTAGTAAATTTGAACAACAAGAAAATAAGACTTATTCTTTAGTAGATATAGGTTGTGGTTGTCTTACTATTGGTTATTGTATCATGATAGAGTGGAATTTTCTTCTCAAAATCCTTCAACATCAAATCAATGCAGTAGTAGGTTGCACAAGGTGTCCAATATAACTTTTGTTTCTTCTGCATTATCAATTACAATTTGGACCACATTTTCTTCCCTAACCTCCTCAACAACATCATCTATGATCCTATAAATTTTGTTAGTTGTCTTTCAAATATCAGATGCATCAATAAACTTTTCATAAAGACACAATCCCCTTTGAACTTTTAACCAAAAAATTAAGTATAGTCCTTCTCCTATCAGTCCATCTATCTATCATTATTGTGCATCCATTTTTCTTCCAAAATAGTTTATATTTTTCCAAAATGAAATTGAACTTTTCACTTTGTTGCTTCAAATATTTCACCCTAATCTCATGGTAAGATGGTGGCTTAAATTCACCCCTATGTTTTGCTACCAACTCAAGCATCCTTCTAAACTCTTTATTGTTTGCTACATTAAATGGAATAGCATTGTTGTAGAAAAGTAAAACAATTTCTTAACAAACATCCTCTCTCTCATTTTTCTTAAAAATGGAATTGATAGTAGTTTGAGTATTCCTTCTCCAAAAAAATGACCCTTTAGTATGTTGTGATCTCGAGATTTTGACAACATTGATCTCAACTATACTTACATAGAAAAGTCTGATTCACTAAGCATTTTTATGATTTTAAATATAATAAAGAAAATCATGTGATACTTATCTTAACTTTTAACTAAAAAAAATCGTTCAAGTGCCAATGTGACGAGGAGAACATAATGGAGTTTTTTTTGTTTAACTTTAGACATAAATCACAAAGGGCAAAATAAATATGTAAAAAATGTGTAAGGTGTAGGAGAAAAATATGAAGTTGGAAAAAGTAACAATCCAACTGTGGACATGCTCACAATAGATAGTAATGACACAAACAAAACCAATTCAATTCCTAGCTATTTAAAATTTGGACAGGTTCATCCCATCAATATATCATTAGGATCGATAACCGCATTCTCGTTATCGGCTCCATGGTGGTGTCAATCCCAAGTCCGTCGATATATTATTAGCGTTGATATATCATTAGGGTTGATCACCACATTCCTAAAGTATTATTCGTTTTGGAGTATGAAACTTTGTCATAGTTTTGTTCTTGGAAGATATTTCAAAGGATAGTTTTTTTTTCTCGTTATCAACTCTATGGTAAGTGATAATGCTCTGATCCTAAGTCCATTGATATATTATTACCGTCAATCACTACATTTTCAAGATATTATCTATTTTGAAGTGTGAAACTTCGTCACAATTTTGTTTTGAAAAACACGTTAAAATGTAGAAGGAGAAATAAGTGTTTTAAGTCTTGATAAGTTACGTGAGACTATTAAATTGATAAAAGAAAATATTAATTTTGAAAAAGTTAAGTTTATCTGGTACATATAAATTAGAATTTAGTGAAAACTAATTTTCCTTCCACTTACGTTTTTTCTTACAGATTCATTCAAATGTATACTATAAATCCACTGATACATTATGAACTAGCTCTTTTAATTATCATCAATATTAGTTGTTTACTATATACAAGTTTTGGTAAATTTTATACCTGCCATCACAATTTTTCTTACAATTTCATTCAAATGTATACTATAAATCCACTGATACATTATGAACTAGCTCTTTTAATTATCATCAATATTAGTTGTTTACTATATACAAGTTTTGGTAAATTTTATACCTGCCATCACAATTTTTCTTACAATTTCATTCAAATGTATACTATAAATCCACTGATACATTATGAACTAGCTCTTTTAATTATCATCAATATTAGCTCTTTACTATATTTTTAAAGCACATTTTAAATCTATCAACAACCAAAATTTTCTTAGTCATCTAAAATTACTATTGTCTCTCTCCACATGTATAATCTTCTTAACATTCACCCCTTAACCATCTTTTAATTATATGACCAAATTGAATTTTAATAATTTCTAAAGAAATATTAAAATAATTAAAAACAACCTTTTATCAAAATTAAAACTGTTGATTACAAATTCAATATATAATTAATTTCAATATACAATTTATATAACCCAGAATGCTAATTATATATATATATATATATATATATATATATATATATATATATATATATATATAACCCTTATCTTTTACAATGCATTGTCTAAAAATAATTACATAGATACAAGTTATGGATATATTTTAATCTTTTGAAGCATTTTTCTAATTTCTCTTAAAATATTCTTTAATAAAACTTGTAGTTATTAATGATCTACCGAACCAAATAATTACATCCCTTCCCTAAAGATATACAGCTATTTTTCAAATAAACATTTTGAGGGCAGAATATACACTCTTGGTTACTGAATCTAATACAAGGGTGAGTGGTTATGCCTGAAAACTTTATAAGTGAGTGCAGAGAAGGCAAAAATCAGGGCACACTGCTACCGAAAAAGATCTGGGAATGACCACATTATGAACTTTGCAAAAATGTCAGAATCCAGAAACTCAATATGCGCAGCTCTACCGATTATAGAGTCCAGATTCTTGCCTTGTGTAGATGGATCAAAGTTCACATCACAACGCATGAAGACTCGGTGTTGCGTGGAGTTGGCACGAATTTGGTCCAGGCAAGCATTCAACATCTCCATGAACAGTTTACTCTTCTTTGAAGTGTCTCGTGAAGCAGCTTGGCATGATTCAATTCTAGCAGAATGGTAAGGCACATAACCATCCTGAAAATGCCGTATCAGTTAACACCAAACCAAGAAAATTTAGTGAAAACAAACGTACCACAAGGAAAGAGAATGAAGCAACGAAAAACAGGGGAAAAGGTTAAGTGCGAAGGAAAATTTACTTCCTTCAGAATAATACATTACCACACTCTAGCTTCCACGCTAAAAAATCTTAGTACTAAGAAAATCAAGTTCATCTGTCAGTATACTGTAAAAAATTTACTTCATTATGTAACTTTACAGATCCACAAACAAAGACCAACTTTACAGACTTGTATTAAACTCATGAATGATAATGCCAATGCTAATGTATAACAACCCAATTTCTAATTAGAGTGAGAATTGATAAAATTCCTAAATTTATTGCAAGATACAAGACAAGAAGAAAAGGTAATACCTGGGGGGAAGATAGCAGAATAATATTCCTAAAATGTTCCAAGGTTTTCTGCTGAAAAAAGGAGGGGGACGGGAGGAAAGAACTCTATCAGAACCTCATCAAATAAATAGTACCATAAAATATATAAATGACTCATGCAGTTTTTATTTTCAAGAATACATCCCACAATAAGTTATTCAAACAAACACGACTATGAGTTCATGTCTTTATCCCAATCATGGTAGGACACAGTGCCTACCTGACACAGTTTATAGAGAAATGTATTTTGGATATCAGGGTCATCCGTGAAAGTGAGTTGATGAATGCACTGTGTGCCTTTTAGCTTCTTCAAAAACCACAACCCAGAATTGAACAATGAGTTTGAACTATAAAGATAGCCCAAGTGTGGACCAGATACTGAAACATATGTATGTAGGTGACTTAGAAATGGCTCCATAATGCTATCTGCAAACACAGGACAAAACTTAGCACCAAATGTCAAACTGATGAATATCACTACTTCTACGATTATGAAGTACCTGCTAGCGCTGATCTTATAATGAGATTACCAATAGAATGTCCAACAAAACTTAGCCTAATATCTGTCAAACTCCCAAATCTTGATGCTTTGTCCATTTTGATTTTAAGAAATAAAATAACTTCCTTAGCTAGCCTATTTCCCATCTCTCTAAAGTCTCCAAATGTCTTTTCTTCATTAGCCTCTGACATCAGAAATTCTACTTTGGGATCTATCAAAAGCCACTGATTCCGGACTAGTCGTAAATCTAGATGATGCCCCTAAAATAATAAAATAAAACCTGTTAGAATAAGAAAACAGAAGATTTTCCAAGAGAATCAAAACATATTTCTTAAAATGTTATCTAATACAGCCCCTCAAGTAGTAAACACACAAAGATATGACAAAGAACACTAGCTTATCTAGCCAAAGAGCACAGGCAGAGTGAATTACAAAGCCTTCAATTAAGGGTATTAAAGTATGGTTAGTCGGGTTTATTAAAACTCAATATACACGTTACCGGACGGTATTGTTGCTTTTCTGAGAGTTCGTCATCACCAAGTAAATTTTACTTTTACTTTCAGAATCATCAACACAGATTGTTACAGTTCTCTATCAAACTCGAAAGGAATGAGCAAGATCAAACTAAGAAGAGGAAAGATCAACTAAGAACACACAGAAAGCACCAAACCACATCCATAAATAACTAATTCATGCTCAGATGTACCAAAGACAACACCGGAGCTCATCCATGGCTATTGCCTTCCTGAAAAAGATTAAAGAACAGAGTGCAGAACCTCGTTTTTCATTTTCTTAGTTTAAACTTAAACATAAAATCTTTGAACTCAAGACGAAAGATTGTGGAAATAAACTAATATGGTCTAATATCTTGTTAAAGAATTTTAAGCTTAGGTTTTAAGAAAAAGGAACTAGAGGATGATCCATTTTGACAATGCTACAAAGAGATCAACAGTATATGACTTGCCACTGACTCTAAAATAGGTAGATAAACCTAATCACTTTCAAGCCACCAACGTCCAAAAAAAAGAAACACCTAACAAACTCAAATCCTACATTAAAAATAGAAGGTATAGTTTGCACTAAAATCTACAAGACATGCCTGAAACCCATGCACAAAGACAACAATCTTCAACACACGATCATTACTTTGTTGTGCCGATTTCTTGCCTATACTATCATAAAGGTTAAGTGGAAAGCCATCACAATCCATATGCCCAATATGTCTCAGTAATGAATTTTCACTTGGAAAACGCCGCGGTACATTCAACACATGTTCAACAATAACAATTGGTGTACGCAAAGGATCTCCAAATATCTGCATGTCTTGAATTGAGCGGTTGTTAATCTGCAAAATAGTGATCAATATTTCATTATATGGGCCTTATGTAAATATCAAACATTCAAGTTGACAGATTACCCGCATTTGTTCAATGCTCTTTCGATGAAGTTCTGCACGTGTGGCTGCAATCTGAATAGGCTGTATGATTTATAAGATAAAAATGCTTTTGAGTCTATTGCATTGAAAATTGCTTACTTTCACAACTTTCCTGTTTTCAAAATTGCATGATACTCAAAATATGAAGGAAGACGCAAGCACTTACATCATCAGGTAACTTCCACAAACTGGCCACTCGTTTGGTGGCACGCTGGGAAGTCTCATCACCCTTACTGTTTGTATACTGATGAGGCATTTCTACCTTAGAATATAACATCCATATTGACCATTCAGTTCTCCGCTCCCTAATCCATGTCTCATGTAAAAATCCCATAATCTTTGTTTTATTATCCCTAGTAAAATGTAAATATTAGCTTATTAAACGAGGAAAGATAAAGTTTAATGAATCATAAAACACATTTGAGTAAGAGCCAATGCAAAGCCCATAACTCGTAGTTCTCATTGGAATAATATCCAGCTATATTATACCTTTCAGCGTATGAAACCTGAATGTAGATTAAATTTTCAAAGTATTGATGCAAAGTTATCTTCTGAAACTAAATCTAGAAGTGATGCACAATTGAAGGAAACAAAGGTTCATAATACGGTTTATAATAAGCTATATAGACTCATGGTAGTTGAAAGGCAGTAAGAATAAGTAATAAATTTATTAGTCAAAGTATAAACCATGATTTAAATAGTATCAAAGTTGTTCAAATAATGAAGTTGGAAAAAGGGAAAACAAAGGGATACTTCAATCAGATTCAAATGCAGAATTTAAAATATCAGACATCGTTGTTGAATTGTTATGAATCCCATGATATAGGATAAGAGGCAAACCTGTGGTACTTTAAAAATGTTTTCCATAAATAGGACAATTGATCTCCCAGCGAATGAAAACAGTCCATCAGCTCATTCTGGGACAGGGAACAAAGTTTTTCAACATCCTCAAAATCTAGATCTTCATTTCCTCCCTGGACAATAGGACAAAAACTAAAAAAGAAGAACCTTAAAACAATATAAATACAAAAAAAAGGTATTACTCTGTAGTCTGTAGAGTGAAATAAAAGCAAGAACCTTACGACCATTTTGTGCCTTGCCTTGTCCTACAACTTCATTTGCTAATGGATTCTCTTGCTTCATATTACTCACTATTGACACAAAGTCTGAAAAATCTAAAGCTTCACTAATTGCTCTGCCAATTTTGTGTAGTTCTTCAAACAATATATCACGAGAAGCTGATAATACTTTAACAAGCACGGCAGAGCCCTGGTAATCCACACAACATTCAGTTAATGCTTGGAAGAAAAATATGAAAGATTAAAACATTCAGATAGTGGACTAATCTCTTGCTTGAGAAAGATATATGAGGTGGAAGTACATGATAATGTTTGATAATTTCCTTAACAAGTAGCAGTGGGGGAGATTTGTGTGGAAGATTCAGTTAAAGAAAATGTCTAAAGGCAAATAAAGTGATAGAATAGAGAAGCTTTGCATAGATAGAGGTATTGGTGGGATTGGCCATTCCTAAGTTGGAAGACTCTCTGATAAGTAATTTCTGTTTTTATTTGTTCATTTGTCACGTACCTAAGTACGAAACTTAACCAGAACAACCTCTCACACACTCACAACACGTAACAAAACAATGAACGAATGAATTTCTTTTATTGATGGTAATATCTAAATAAACAAAAGTAAACAAGGGTAATTGGGAGCATAACCTCCTTCAATTACTTGGGAGCATAACCACTCTCGCAGGAGCATAGCCGCCTGTCACAAGACTCAATAATCAAAAGCATGACCTAAACAATAGCATCTAGTTTTATTTATATTAAATATTTCCCTAGAATATAATTCTATTTATTATAATTAACTTATACTGAATATTTCCCTAGAATATAATTTTATTTACTATAATTAACTTATACTGAATATTTACCTAGGATATGGCCTTATTTACTATAATTAACTTATACTGAATATTTCCCTAGGATATGGCCTTATTTCCCGTCCATCCTAACTGTTAGTTACTCTTCAACCGATCGGTTCTAGCTCTTTACCGCCTTTCGTTCGGCTTGCTTCCCCCTGTATCCTACCGTTCGGCTCCAACTCTTCACCACCTTCCACCGTTCGGCTTGCTTCCCCCTGCCTTCTACCGTTCGACTCTAGCTCTGCACCGCTTTCCATCGTTTGGCTCCCTGCCTCCTACCATTCGGCTCCCCTGCCTCCTACCGTTCGGCTCCCCTGCCTTCTATCCTATCACCCAGTATCCTATCATCATCTTTCTTGTATCATTCCAGAGTTTATTTTTGGTGTGAGGAGCTAGTCTTCGTATTAGAGTATATAAACTGAAAAACATTTTTTCATGGGCAAAATGTTTATTTCTTTTAGGCAATTGCTACCTGCATTCTCGTATATCTTTTTGGGCACCTGCCCGTTAAGTGTAAGACGAAAATGATCTTTCCAAATCATTACACTTTTTGAAAAAATGCAATCCGAAATATATTAAAAAGCTTCTGGATTACATGTTTTGTAAACATTATGAAAAAAATTATTTCAGAATAAGGATTATGAATAAGATTCCATAATGTATAATTCTGAATAAGGATTATGAATAAAACATTACATGTTTTAAATCGTGATTTTGACTACATTGTCTAAGAACTTCTTGATCTTGATAGTATTTTTCATCTTCTTTGATGTCTCCTCCTCAAAGAAATATCCAGGTATCATAACGAATACAAGTATTATAACGAACACAAAAGCGATATTGACGGGAGACTAACTCCAAAGATGTGGTACAAGGATAAGAATCAAAGCTTGAGTACCATGTTATTGGTGAAAACAATATAAAGAACGCAAGAAGTAACAATATAGAACATAGAAGGAAGAAAGAACACAGAAAGAGACTCAGAAAAAAAAATTGTTTAAACTGGACGAGTCTGATGGACAATTATAGGACTTGCAATCAACAGAAAATAAATGACAATGATTCACTTAGAAAAATGTGATAAGTACTCTAAGAATCACAAAATTATTGTATTTTAGTTTCTTACGTAGCCACCCGTATATACAAATGGAGTTGAAATATATCACAAACTTATCGTATTTTAGTTGAAAGAGATAGTCGACAAAAAAATAAATAACTCCTGACTAACCAATAGAAATAATAGAATTCATCCTAAGCTCGTTGGACGACTTCAACAAGCATATTAACAAGGTTCCAAAGCATAAAATCACAATACACTTTGAGATAGACCTAGATGAGATGGAATAAAGTACAAAACAAGAAATCCACTTCACAAAATCTATTGTATCCTAATGCTAGAAGGCTCCTCACCATACAAAGGTATGGGAGGGAGTCATTGTACATTATACAACCTTATCCTTGTATATGAAAGAAAACCTATTTTCAAATTCAAACCCATGATCAATTGGTTACCTAGGCACAACTTTACTGCTATACTAGTCCCCATAAAATATCTGAATGTGCTTGTACCAAAAAAAAGATAACAAGGAACAAAAAATATTCATGTCCATAGGTGAATACGTACACATAAGAAATGTCCCCGTTTTGTCTGTATACAATTGAGTGTAGTTAAGTCATCATAATTGTATAAAATTACCATGGTGAATGCCAAGTAGGTGCCAAAGTGCTTGAAGTCAAGTGTAGACTATTAGGGGCCATTAATATTTAAAAATGCTATCCAATATATACTGTTCATACACTTCTCAAATTCTTTGGGATCTTCTTGGCTACATCTTTAAATTGTGAAATTTTGTATCAATACAAGTGCAATAGCAAATTGATTATATAATTATAATGTTTTATTGTAAAATAAAACTAACTTAAAAAATGTTGATGCATTTATTATAAGTTACTATGTCGTTTTGTGTTGATATTGCATTTATTTTATATATGACATATCATCTAGGGATGGCAAAAATATTTTGGTCTATGAGTATCCGTGAATAAATTCCGTGACAGATTGTTGCTACGTGTGGATATTTATTACCCGCAGATATTTTAATACTTGTTTATAAATGGGTCAAGTGCGGGTATCATACTATTCATACCCGCGAATATCTATTATCTGCAAAAGATTAAAATTAAAATTTAATTTATATTTTATTAAGTTAAATTTAATTAAAATTAAAATTAATCTATATTTTATTAGGTTAAATTTAATTAAAATTATTTATATTTAATTTAATTTATATTATATTTTATATTTTTTTTGTAATTTTATTTAAAAAATTTATAAAGTGTCTTATTTTAAATATTCGTAGGTATCCACACATAGATGTGAGTTTTAAAATAACCACGGATATTTTGTAAACCGATATCGGACAGGTAACGGGACGAATAACAAGTAGACTTTTTCGTTGTGGGTCGCATAGAAAGTAGATGTTATCCGTGCCCCGCCCAACCTATTGTCATCCCTTATCATCCATATATGTCCTATAATTTTAGACATTATCATGTTCATGTACCAGTTCCATGCCATTATAGTGTTCATATCTATATCCATGCTTCTCATATAAGCAATAAAGCAAGCAAAGAGCTCAAAAATGAAATAATGCAAGAAAATGTTGGCAATTAATATTTTGCATGAAGTCAACTTGATCATCACTTTAGTGTGATTATAAAAAAAGAGACTCTAATGTCTTAGAACATACTTTATTCGAAGCGTCGCTGCTTTTATCTGCAATGACTTCAGTGTTGGCAGAATTGCTGTAATGGATCAAATGAAAAGGTTACTCTATATAATCCAAGATGCATAACAAAAAATTTGCAATCACAAGTGCTCAAAAATAAACTTTCGAACAGACAGATAATGCTAAACGAAAATTCTAGCAGATTCAAACCGAAAATAAGAACATTTACAAACCTTGGTAGCTTTGATGCAAATGAATGAGTGGCAACTTTTAGTATACTGGCATGTACACTTACGTCAACAAGCACCGCATGTAAAGCGTCAAAATGGACAGGACAATACGAATGCAATCCTATAAGAGCTTTAGGAGGTATTCGGAATTCATGGATAGCAGCAGAGGAAGCATCCAGAGGAAGGTCCAATTCGACACTGTAGATGACATACTCCCCATCAACAATCAACATGTCAGTTGCACCTAGTAGATATCAATAATAAAAGAAACACACATGTGTCTATATGGCAGATTAGACCAATGAAGACACCACTTTTATGACTCACCCTTGCTCAGTCATGGGAGCGTATATAAGCTCAAATTTTAAAATAACAGCAGTTGTAGCTAAATCCTGCAAATATGAGCGACATAAAGCAGGTCAATTTGATAAGGATATTGAACTAGAGGAAAGAGAGTTATGTATAATGTAAAAGCTATGAGACTTTGTTTCACATAAAAGGTTGAGTAACCTTCGAGGTGGGATTTTATAGGTCCCCTTCTCAGACATATGCAAACTAGTTTTGTATATTTTTTTTTCCAGTACTCATTTAAGCTTCATTACACATGTGAAAAACAAGTATTGTAAACCTCAGTTTGACATTTAAGTACTAGCCAATAAGTTCCATATTCATTTCCCTAAGAATAAGTTCTGATACAAAGCTACATTTCAGTAAGTGTTACAATATCCTGACTTAACCCCTCTGCTTGTACTGTAAGTTACGTCAAATAACAGGATAGTAGTATTACTAATNATCCACACAACATTCAGTTAATGCTTGGAAGAAAAATATGAAAGATTAAAACATTCAGATAGTGGACTAATCTCTTGCTTGAGAAAGATATATGAGGTGGAAGTACATGATAATGTTTGATAATTTCCTTAACAAGTAGCAGTGGGGGAGATTTGTGTGGAAGATTCAGTTAAAGAAAATGTCTAAAGGCAAATAAAGTGATAGAATAGAGAAGCTTTGCATAGATAGAGGTATTGGTGGGATTGGCCATTCCTAAGTTGGAAGACTCTCTGATAAGTAATTTCTGTTTTTATTTGTTCATTTGTCACGTACCTAAGTACGAAACTTAACCAGAACAACCTCTCACACACTCACAACACGTAACAGAACAATGAACGAATGAATTTCTTTTATTGATGGTAATATCTGAATAAACAAAAGTAAACAAGGGTAATTGGGAGCATAACCTCCTTCAATTACTTGGGAGCATAACCACTCTCGCAGGAGCATAGCCGCCTGTCACAAGACTCAATAATCAAAAGCATGCCCTAAACAATAGCATCTAGTTTTATTTATATTAAATATTTCCCTAGAATATAATTCTATTTATTATAATTAACTTATACTGAATATTTCCCTAGAATATAATTTTATTTACTATAATTAACTTATACTGAATATTTCCCTAGGATATGGCCTTATTTACTATAATTAACTTATACTGAATATTTCCCTAGGATATGGCCTTATTTCCCGTCCATCCTAACTGTTAGTTACTCTTCAACCGATCGGTTCTAGCTCTTTACCGCCTTTCGTTCGGCTTGCTTCCCCCTGTATCCTACCGTTCGGCTCCAACTCTTCACCACCTTCCACCGTTCGGCTTGCTTCCCCCTGCCTTCTACCGTTCGACTCTAGCTCTGCACCGCTTTCCATCGTTTGGCTCCCTGCCTCCTACCATTCGGCTCCCCTGCCTCCTACCGTTCGGCTCCCCTGCCTTCTATCCTATCACCCAGTATCCTATCATCATCTTTCTTGTATCATTCCAGAGTTTATTTTTGGTGTGAGGAGCTAGTCTTCGTATTAGAGTATATAAACTGAAAAACATTTTTTCATGGGCAAAATGTTTATTTCTTTTAGGCAATTGCTACCTGCATTCTCGTATATCTTTTTGGGCACCTGCCCGTTAAGTGTAAGACGAAAATGATCTTTCCAAATCATTACACTTTTTGAAAAAATGCAATCCGAAATATATTAAAAAGCTTCTGGATTACATGTTTTGTAAACATTATGAAAAAAATTATTTCAGAATAAGGATTATGAATAAGATTCCATAATGTATAATTCTGAATAAGGATTATGAATAAAACATTACATGTTTTAAATCGTGATTTTGACTACATTGTCTAAGAACTTCTTGATCTTGATAGTATTTTTCATCTTCTTTGATGTCTCCTCCTCAAAGAAATATCCAGGTATCATAACGAATACAAGTATTATAACGAACACAAAAGCGATATTGACGGGAGACTAACTCCAAAGATGTGGTACAAGGATAAGAATCAAAGCTTGAGTACCATGTTATTGGTGAAAACAATATAAAGAACGCAAGAAGTAACAATATAGAACATAGAAGGAAGAAAGAACACAGAAAGAGACTCAGAAAAAAAAATTGTTTAAACTGGACGAGTCTGATGGACAATTATAGGACTTGCAATCAACAGAAAATAAATGACAATGATTCACTTAGAAAAATGTGATAAGTACTCTAAGAATCACAAAATTATTGTATTTTAGTTTCTTACGTAGCCACCCGTATATACAAATGGAGTTGAAATATATCACAAACTTATCGTATTTTAGTTGAAAGAGATAGTCGACAAAAAAATAAATAACTCCTGACTAACCAATAGAAATAATAGAATTCATCCTAAGCTCGTTGGACGACTTCAACAAGCATATTAACAAGGTTCCAAAGCATAAAATCACAATACACTTTGAGATAGACCTAGATGAGATGGAATAAAGTACAAAACAAGAAATCCACTTCACAAAATCTATTGTATCCTAATGCTAGAAGGCTCCTCACCATACAAAGGTATGGGAGGGAGTCATTGTACATTATACAACCTTATCCTTGTATATGAAAGAAAACCTATTTTCAAATTCAAACCCATGATCAATTGGTTACCTAGGCACAACTTTACTGCTATACTAGTCCCCATAAAATATCTGAATGTGCTTGTACCAAAAAAAAGATAACAAGGAACAAAAAATATTCATGTCCATAGGTGAATACGTACACATAAGAAATGTCCCCGTTTTGTCTGTATACAATTGAGTGTAGTTAAGTCATCATAATTGTATAAAATTACCATGGTGAATGCCAAGTAGGTGCCAAAGTGCTTGAAGTCAAGTGTAGACTATTAGGGGCCATTAATATTTAAAAATGCTATCCAATATATACTGTTCATACACTTCTCAAATTCTTTGGGATCTTCTTGGCTACATCTTTAAATTGTGAAATTTTGTATCAATACAAGTGCAATAGCAAATTGATTATATAATTATAATGTTTTATTGTAAAATAAAACTAACTTAAAAAATGTTGATGCATTTATTATAAGTTACTATGTCATTTTGTGTTGATATTGCATTTATTTTATATATGACATATCATCTAGGGATGGCAAAAATATTTTGGTCTATGAGTATCCGAGAATAAATTCCGTGACAGATTGTTGCTACGTGTGGATATTTATTACCCGCAGATATTTTAATACTTATTTATAAATGGGTCAAGTGCGGGTATCATACTATTCATACCCGCGAATATCTATTATCTGCAAAAGATTAAAATTAAAATTTAATTTATATTTTATTAAGTTAAATTTAATTAAAATTAAAATTAATCTATATTTTATTAGGTTAAATTTAATTAAAATTATTTATATTTAATTTAATTTATATTATATTTTATATTTTTTTTGTAATTTTATTTAAAAAATTTATAAAGTGTCTTATTTTAAATATTCGTAGGTATCCACACATAGATGTGAGTTTTAAAATAACCACGGATATTTTGTAAACCGATATCGGACAGGTAACGGGACGAATAACAAGTAGACTTTTTCGTTGTGGGTCGCATAGAAAGTAGATGTTATCCGTGCCCCGCCCAACCTATTGTCATCCCTTATCATCCATATATGTCCTATAATTTTAGACATTATCATGTTCATGTACCAGTTCCATGCCATTATAGTGTTCATATCTATATCCATGCTTCTCATATAAGCAATAAAGCAAGCAAAGAGCTCAAAAATGAAATAATGCAAGAAAATGTTGGCAATTAATATTTTGCATGAAGTCAACTTGATCATCACTTTAGTGTGATTATAAAAAAAGAGACTCTAATGTCTTAGAACATACTTTATTCGAAGCGTCGCTGCTTTTATCTGCAATGACTTCAGTGTTGGCAGAATTGCTGTAATGGATCAAATGAAAAGGTTACTCTATATAATCCAAGATGCATAACAAAAAATTTGCAATCACAAGTGCTCAAAAATAAACTTTCGAACAGACAGATAATGCTAAACGAAAATTCTAGCAGATTCAAACCGAAAATAAGAACATTTACAAACCTTGGTAGCTTTGATGCAAATGAATGAGTGGCAACTTTTAGTATACTGGCATGTACACTTACGTCAACAAGCACCGCATGTAAAGCGTCAAAATGGACAGGACAATACGAATGCAATCCTATAAGAGCTTTAGGAGGTATTCGGAATTCATGGATAGCAGCAGAGGAAGCATCCAGAGGAAGGTCCAATTCGACACTGTAGATGACATACTCCCCATCAACAATCAACATGTCAGTTGCACCTAGTAGATATCAATAAAAAAAGAAACACACATGTGACTATATGGCAGATTAGACCAATGAAGACACCACTTTTATGACTCACCCTTGCTCAGTCATGGGAGCGTATATAAGCTCAAATTTTAAAATAACAGCAGTTGTAGCTAAATCCTGCAAATATGAGCGACATAAAGCAGGTCAATTTGATAAGGATATTGAACTAGAGGAAAGAGAGTTATGTATAATGTAAAAGCTATGAGACTTTGTTTCACATAAAAGGTTGAGTAACCTTCGAGGTGGGATTTTATAGGTCCCCTTCTCAGACATATGCAAACTAGTTTTGTATATTTTTTTTTCCAGTACTCATTTAAGCTTCATTACACATGTGAAAAATAAGTATTGTAAACCTCAGTTTGACATTTAAGTACTAGCCAATAAGTTCCATATTCATTTCCCTAAGAATAAGTTCTGATACAAAGCTACATTTCAGTAAGTGTTACAATATCCTGACTTAACCCCTCTGCTTGTACTGTAAGTTACGTCAAATAACAGGATAGTAGTATTACTAATATAGGTCACTCACTGGCAATATAGATATTAACCATAATATCTTAACATAACCCTTATACAACAACAAATATTTTAAGGCTAATAACTCTAATGTCTAACTAATACTATTATCATCATTATTAATCCTTAAATAAACTAAATCGTAGTAAATACGTCATGGGTCTTTTTGTGGCTCACATGCGGCCAACATCAATACATACATGTGTATGTGGTTACACAATGCGCTGACATGTGTATAAACTAATTTATACAGAATTGATATGCCAACCCACATTGAGTAACCTAAAAGCCTCAATAATAGATACTTGGCACTCAAGATACAATATCATTCCTAGAAGGTGTTCTTTCACTTTGTTACCCATGCAAAGAAAATAAATGATAGTGATCATTACCACCAAATTATTACGACGTAAGTTGAACACGATCATCAAATACAAATGAACATCCTGCCTAGCATATTTTATTCGAAAAGACTGCGTTGAGAAACTGTTATCTGTGTCATCAATCCTCCATACGCCATATATGCTGCTAGGATCCAGATCAGGAGGAACTGCATAACCGAAGGTTCTCTACCTCAGTATCACTTTTGCATATAAGAAAAGCTTATCCAATAGTTTTCATTCTAAAAAAATTCTATTATACACTACACACACACACACACACACGAGAGAGAGAGAGAGAGAGAGAGAGAGAGAGAGACAGAGAGAGAGATAAAGGAGGGATCAAATCACTCCAAGAGCAACTTTTCATTTTAATCTTCATTTTCTTTTAATATAACATCTAATTTATTTCTTAAAATTATTAGATTACAAGAAATAAAGGGTGAGGATGAGGAGTAACTCTTTGAAAATTACTCTTCAAATAACATGATTCCTTCTTGTGTGTGTGTGTGTGTAAGGAGATTACTCTAAGAATAAATCTAACATCCTCACTCTTCACTTTTCTTATAAAAAGACTTTGTATGACTGTTACATTAAGAGAAAAATGAAAAGTAAAGATAAGGAGTAATTCTCTTAGAGTTAATTTAGGGTAACGTTATCCTTAAAGGAGAAATGCAAAGCTTTAATCTCTTCTTCCATTTCAAATTGTGAACAGTTGATCATGAGAAAAAACCCACAACAATTTACATTTCTGAAGTGATAGATAGATCAAAAGAGGTCATTCAAAATTCTTTCAAATGAAATAAAGAAGGTAGAGAAAAGTATTTCAAATCATAGGTAGAAAAGTAAAGAGAAACATTGATGATTTGCTTATTTTTATATTTGTATGATTCTTTTGGAGTTAAGGGAGTTGCTGACTTATTGTTATATACGTATGATTCTATTATGAGTTGTTGTTACCTATTCAATTCACTTAATGTATCATTATATAAAGTGTTTCTATTAACTTGTTAGTTATCAGTCATAGAGGAGCAAACTAGGAAGAATTTTACACATGACCATACAAAGTTTTATTTTTTAGATGTTTCTTACAAAGATTATTTAATTATGAACGGTGAGGATCATGCCTCGTTGCCCCTCCGTTCTACTTCATAGAGGACTAACATGGGCTGGGAGAGACCATCACTTGAGATTGAAATTCCTAATTACTCAATTTCAAATCAGTAACAAGCGACTATAATTTTGAAATTGGATTAAAGATTGTATAATTTTGGTCTGTTTGCAAATAAGTTAATGTTTAAAGAATCCTAATGCAATTTTTCCATAAATAAAGATAAAACAATTATAACGAACTATAATACCAATCAACAGTGGGTTAAATAAATGCTAAATTATAATAAATGTAGGTGGCTAACCAGTATATTCATTAAGTTACCTTCATATTGAACAACACTTGCTGGAATACCGAAACATACGTTTTCACTGTCCTCCCATCTCACGGTAATCTTAATCTGATACCATCTATACAAAACAACACATGCATCGGTTTACCAGATTAGAAGTTTAAAAACAAAATTAGAAATCAGAAAATAAGAAAAGTAAAAAGAAAAAAAGGAATGTATACGCAATATACCCCTGCTTAAAAAGGTCAAGGTTGTGAAACCTATGAAGATAGACGGCAATCTCCTGTACAGTCTCCAACGTTGCCTCCGACTTGACCTTCACAGAGGGTGGCATTAAATCAGGCGAACTCTACCGACTAGCTTCAATGTTACACACCGACAAAACTTCCTCCCCTGGTTGATGCATCATGCATATACCACAATAACCAACACAGACATCTTTCCCCTGTAGGTAATACTATCAATCATGATTAGCAGCCATTAGCAAATTCCTTTGCCCCTTTCAAACCTTCACACANTACCTATTCAATTCACTTAATGTATCATTATATAAAGTGTTTCTATTAACTTGTTAGTTATCAGTCATAGAGGAGCAAACTAGGAAGAATTTTACACATGACCATACAAAGTTTTATTTTTTAGATGTTTCTTACAAAGATTATTTAATTATGAACGGTGAGGATCATGCCTCGTTGCCCCTCCGTTCTACTTCATAGAGGACTAACATGGGCTGGGAGAGACCATCACTTGAGATTGAAATTCCTAATTACTCAATTTCAAATCAGTAACAAGCGACTATAATTTTGAAATTGGATTAAAGATTGTATAATTTTGGTCTGTTTGCAAATAAGTTAATGTTTAAAGAATCCTAATGCAATTTTTCCATAAATAAAGATAAAACAATTATAACGAACTATAATACCAATCAACAGTGGGTTAAATAAATGCTAAATTATAATAAATGTAGGTGGCTAACCAGTATATTCATTAAGTTACCTTCATATTGAACAACACTTGCTGGAATACCGAAACATACGTTTTCACTGTCCTCCCATCTCACGGTAATCTTAATCTGATACCATCTATACAAAACAACACATGCATCGGTTTACCAGATTAGAAGTTTAAAAACAAAATTAGAAATCAGAAAATAAGAAAAGTAAAAAGAAAAAAAGGAATGTATACGCAATATACCCCTGCTTAAAAAGGTCAAGGTTGTGAAACCTATGAAGATAGACGGCAATCTCCTGTACAGTCTCCAACGTTGCCTCCGACTTGACCTTCACAGAGGGTGGCATTAAATCAGGCGAACTCTACCGACTAGCTTCAATGTTACACACCGACAAAACTTCCTCCCCTGGTTGATGCATCATGCATATACCACAATAACCAACACAGACATCTTTCCCCTGTAGGTAATACTATCAATCATGATTAGCAGCCATTAGCAAATTCCTTTGCCCCTTTCAAACCTTCACACATCTCAAGCACACCCTGATTCTTAACCCATAAAACTCACCCGTTGATATGGACATTATGCGGAACACACAGGAGCAGGCCAGTGAAACTAAACCTGCAATGTAAATATAAATAATGGAACAACCAGAAGTAAGATTAAAATTTTACAAGTAATATGATCATATTAATATAATTTTAAATTAATATTTGATTTTCTAACTTACTGTCAAAAAATTCTCTCTCACGATTAATGCAACTCTTTCCCCGACTCAAATTAACGATTAAGGAAAAAGACAAAACAGAAAAGATTCCTTGTTGTCCTGGGATTTGATCCTTAGTATGCACTAAAAACTGATTAATTGATGGAGTAGCAGGGAAAAGAAAATTCAAGATTATGACATGAAACTGAAAAAAATGAAAGGAAACAGCGCCAATAGCTAACAAAGCAATGTTATTATGTATCCTCTCGATAATGACATAACAATGAACGGAAATGAAAAGGATAGAAAACAAAGATAAAGGGAATGGTATTCTAGGGTTCGTAATTGTCGCACAGTGTGGGAGGCTCAAATTATTATCAAATGAGGTTTGGAATGAACGGTTGACTGATCCTATCTCCAATTGGTCATCGTTCTTGTTGGTTGTGTGGAGTTGTGATGGTTCTTGATCCTGGAAAATGAAAATGAAGCGTTTAAACGTGAAATGTGAAATGTGAGTTCTTCATTAGGCAATGTCATTACAAACACAAATAACCTCTTTCTATTTTTCACAAGGCTTTGCACGTTGTTTGAATCCAACTCATGAAGAATCCTAATAAGCGATAAAATGGATTCATATTATAGTTATTAATTTAAGAATTCATTGACATGTCCGTTTTTTATTTACATACTTTTTTTTAATTAAAAAAATCAGATAATACGTAAATTCTCCATAATTTAATTTTCCAAAAATATTCATAAAATTTCAAAAATTAACTTTTTATTTCTTTTATAAAACTAGTCCAATTGAAATTTTTAATTTACGAAAGCTGGTAATATTAGCCAAAGAAAGTTATGATTGAAATAATTGAAGTATATGTTTGATAAATAATTATACAATTAAACTTACGTGACATATAGTTTAAAATAATAAAAATTCTTCAAGAAAAAGAATCAAATACTAGTTATATATATATATATATATATATATAAAACTAAAAAATACAAAATTGTCCAAATGAAATATATGTACAAATAAATGTTTCAAATTCACATAAATGCATAAAAAAATTATATTTGCTGGTTTTAATTAAAACTAGCTTAACTGATTAAAGTATAATTTAAAATTAAGCTCTCATGGTTTTAAAACGAAATTTTAATTAGTTGAAAAATAACAAAACATAAACTTTTTAATTGATTAAAAAGTTTAACAAAAATGAACTTGAGATTTTTAAACGATTTTAATTAAATAAAAAATTGTTTACTTGTATTAAAAAAATTTAAATGTGTAAATTTGGTTTTAAGTTGTTTTATCGATTAAATTATTATTTTAATTGTTCAACCTATGGTTTTCCAACAAAATGTTTGAAGAATCTAACAGCCTCCAACCTAGTTACTACAAGAGCATATGTTTCCTAAAAAGTTTAGCAGACACAAATTTTTCTTTAGTTCCATTTATATTAATTTTGTAAATACTATTTAAGATATTTTTTTCATTTGTCACATGCGTTAATAAAAGACTTCCCTGCTTTTTAAGTGTTAGATTCATCAAATAAAACATACATTGCGAAAAAAAAAAATCAAGACTAAGTGCACATGTTACATAATGATGTTATGTCTTCTTATTTTCAATTATATACCAATCAACCTATGATTTTCCAACAAAATCATCTTCCATTTTATACATAAAAATATATGATCATTTGAAAAATGCATTCCAAATCATTCGGATTAGACCAATCAACTATACCTAGAAAAAAAAAACATACACAACAAGATTTTGAATCAACTATACCTAGAAAAAAAAAACCATTAGACATCTATATTTTTAATTAAACACATTTATAAGTAAAATACATTTACTAACCTTTGAACTGTCGTTAAGTTAACTTTAATTAAAAGTTTATTTCGAAACCTATAAATATAGAGATAAAAGTAAAAAAGTAAGTGATTGCATTTATTATGAATTTAAGATTTTATTATGATAATCAATCAGCAACGTAATTGACTTGAGTGTCAAAGTGTCATTGACAAGTGTCTCCCGACATTTTAAAGTTACAACACTAAGGACCTAGGAGAACTTTGTAATGAAAACCCAGACAACATTAAAAAAACTTAGAAAAAAAAGTATAAAGCCCACTCCAAACAAATTTTGATAATATTATATTTTTATCATAATATAATACATTATAAATATTTTAAAAAATGCAAATACACAAACACTATCACTCATAATATAATATATTATAAATAAAATATAAATATTATCAACTCATAATATAATATATTATAAATAAAATATAAATATTATCAACTCATAATATAATATATTATAAATAAAATATAAATATTATCAACTCATAATATAATATAGGGTTAAATATGTTTTTAGTCCCTAAACTATTGGCCGTTTCTGGTTTTCGTCCCTCTTTCAAGGTATAATTTGGTCCTCATTCTTTTCGAAACGTTCGTTTTAGTCCTCAGAATTTTGGTTTTAGTCCTCATTTGTTGCTCTAAATGAGGACCAAATTTTTAAACGGTGTTAGTTTTCGAGGACTAAAACAAACGTTTTGAAAAGAATGAGGACCAAATTGTAACGGCCAATAGTTTAGGGACTAAAAACATATTTAACCCTATAATATATGATAAATATTTAAAAAAATGCGATTACACATACATACGATACACAATCGCAAGAGCGTTACGCATGTGTTTCCACTAGCTTTTTATAATTAAAATACAATTTCAATATATTAAAATGTTATTTTAATTTATTAAAATAATAAAAACATCACATAATGAATTTTTATTTGATTATTTATTTTTATTTTATTAAAATATTTTTCATTATAAACCCAACAAAGCTAAGAACATTTTAACATAATAAATAATTTGTAATCAATTGCAAACAAAATTTAACATTTTAAATAATGATAAAATGCTTCAAAATAAATTACTTATATGTAACTAAATCAAAATAAAAGATAAAGAAATACAGTTCAAACTCAAGATCAAACACAATATTAATATCTTCAACCCTTATATAATCTCAACATAGCATATTATATTTAGAAGCATCAAATTTTAAGCTTAGAAACATTAAATATGTAAACTTCAAGTTTCTATATCAACAAACATATTTATATACTTGTGTAATAAGAATATCTTTGTATAAGCTATTATATTTTAATGGATTTTTTATTTTTTTAAATTACGATTAGTCGTATTTAATATAAAGTAGAGCAGTCAAAACGGGTATCTGACTAAATCCGGCCCGACTCACCATGGGTTAGTCACTTAGTGAATCAACCTAACTTGGTTCACTTATTAGCAAGCTGAAAAAATTCGATCTCGGTTTGACCCACCACGGGTTGTTGAGTTAAACAGGTTAATTCACTTAATTATAAGTTTTTTTTAAAATAAAAAATTATAATTTTTTAATTTAAATATAAAAAATTTCAGCCTAAAATGATGTTAAATTTCAAAGACAATTCAAAATAAAAATATATATCATACAATCCAAGCGTAAGAAAAAACAAGCACAAAAGGCGAACAAATAATTTTTTAATATTGATAATTTTTGTATGGTGAGACAACTTTAAAACTAACCTACATCTTTTTCAAACTCAACACAACTCAAACGCATGAGTCGCGTTAAATCAGCACTAATATAAACAATAGTTTACCTATTAATTAAGGGTCTTATTTTATTTTTTTAATTGGTTTCCTAGTTAAGGGATTTACAAATAATTATGGGGAATCGCTTACACTAGTGATATTGTTCGTTTTAACAATAATTATGAAATTCTTACTAATTTTATTAATAATTAATATTACACTAAAAGATTGATTAATCATTTTTATTGATAATTAACTAATCCTTGTCTCTAATTTTTTAAATTTTAATTCGAAATCTTGTTTACAAGAACCAAATACACTTATTACTTTCCTAATACTGTTTATTCTTAGAACACGACAATCTTTTTCATCAATGAACATAATAAACGTGGCATACTTTTTTGGTCCTATAAATCTAATTTAATTTCAACTGTTTAATATCATTTCATAATAAATCTGAATAAATTTATCGAAGTGATGGTAAGAGAAACAAGACTAATTAAGAAAATACCAAATTGGTCACTAAAAAAAGCGGCAAGTCCTTCATTAAAATTTTCATACAAATATGTTCTCGAAAAAATTATATGCTTTAGTATAAGATCTTATAATTTATCTTTACCCTTTTTAGAGAGAAAGAAAAAAGCAACACAAGATATTATTACTTTGTGATTTGTACCTTTATGGAGCAAGTTGCTTATTTTAACACTTTCTTTTCCAAATAAAGTACATGCACGTCAATGTCACATATATATATTACCATAAACTAATGGGTGGTGCTACTTTGACATTACAAAATGGCATTATTTGATATGGAAAAATAATAATATTTTAATTAGATTTACAATATCTTTTAATTTAAACATATAATATATGTATATTATTATATTATTGAAAAGGATTGTCAAATGAATGTATTTTTAAGGAGAGTATGAAACAACCTTTTTCCTAAACTAATAATAGTGTCAAATATGGAAGTTCTATGAGTTGAGAAAAAAATAAAATGGAGTATTTGGAGTTTGTCTAAGTCACTACTTTAATTTTGGTGCATTTTTGGCACGTACTTTTTCAATACACTTAAATTAGTATTTATTTATCTATATGAATCCACCATTTATGCATGTGTTGACGTACAAAAAAATGAACAGAAACAAGGTATGCTATAATACCTCGCAGAGTTTGGCTTTCTTAAACCGAAGAAAAAGAATAAAAAGGTGTGTAATGGAGACGTTTCTGTATTATAATATATATATTTATATAAATTCCAGAATCAGATTCGTTTCATATGTCGGTCTTAGCCCAGAAAGAATCTTTGTCATAAAAATTGAAAAAATGTTCGACAAAACAAGATTAAGAAACAACTGAGGATGAGTCCGAATATTAAAAACCTCTGATCATTATAGGACCAACTCTCTTCACCATCCAAAATGTTCCTTCCTTAAGGAAAAAGTTACAATTTGAAATATGCTCTCGCAAGTATCATTCAATTATGTGTTTCTTATTTGCACATTGCAGTTTTTTAATTGAAAAATAATCGTAAAGTGTATTTTTTGAAATTATAAAAAAAAATGTTTTTCGTAAAAAAGTTATGATTTGAACTGATATCCTAAGCTGCATACTTTTTTTATAAATAAATTATTCTTTTTACTAAAACAGTTTAACTGTTTGAGAGTAAATTTTCTCAAACATACTCTTAAGTTCACAAGGAAACTATTTTTAATAAAGTTTTTATCGTAAATAATTATTTTAATTTTATTGGTAAAAAAATCTGAAAATATCTTTACATGTTCGAACTGAGGTATCAACAGACAAAAAAAAATGAGACATATTCTGATGCTATGGCTTTCTGATATCAGTGGCAGTTCAGTGGTGACTTTAGTCAAATGGGTCATGTTAATATTTTGAAAATTTTTATTTTGACAACTTCATATTACTCAATAATTAGTGAGAACTATTTTTTTTAATAATACAT